TCCATTATTTATATATTTCAAGAAATATTATAAAAACCCTATAATTGCAAAATTCAAGTAATTTAATCACAATGAAAAAGAAGAAGTTTCTTAAGAAAGAAGATCCATAAAATACCTTAATAAATCTTATAAATATTCAGATTAGCTCAATTAAAAATGCTGACATACTAACCCCGCTAATTATGCATAGCAAGTTGCCTCCTTTGCATCCGAATAGATCAGTACACAAATTGAAAACAGAAATAAATACTCCTACAATGCTAACGCCAATGCTAAGAAAGACTCCATCTAAATTAGCAGTTATACAAGAAAATGCTCCAAAAAGATAGTATGTAACACCATCAATGCCGAAGTACAAAAGTGATTCCTCCATCGATATAGAGGATGTTGATGACAATTAAAATTAACGAAAAAGAATTTAAACTGAACAAAAGCGTAGAATGTTTAAGGACCTTCTCTATTAATCTAAAAATAGCTAATCCTCTGTCTCAACTGTAAATATTTTGATTTAAATTTCTTTAGGAGTCAGAAAATTAGGTCAACATTAGTTCAACTAATAAAATCTAAACTAGAGCTACAATAAGTAAAATTTCACCTCAAAAAAAGATTACTTTTCCTATTTTGAAGTAGAGTAAAACTCTGAATAATGTAATAGCTTCAAAAATGAATAAAGACATAAGGGATGTCAGAAGTTAACAAACTGTGCATAATAATGTTAAATAATAAACAGCATAACAATAGTAAAACTAATTCTAACAACAGATGAATGAGTCATCTTTGTAAAAAGGACTTTAATTGATATAAAGAAGATAATCTGTGCGAAGAATTACCTTCGGTTTGTCACAAATGAATTAAAGATAGTCTCGCTAAGATAGTCTTGGAGGTATATAGAAGACAAAATTTAGAGTAAATATGGAATTCTTAGCCAGTGTAGAATAGTGCTTGAGGAATTCTTTCAAATCTTATAACAATGGGGACATTAGATTTGCTTGCCACTTTTTATTCAATATAATCAGAATAGCTCATCTAAAGCCTCACCTCGTGATTCTTTACAAAACTCATAAACTTTTATCTTGTCTCAAAAGGGAAATAGGAGATTTTCATGGAGAAAGGGAAAACTTAAAGCTGCTTAAAGATATATCGGGAATGATTTTAGATTGAAGATACCATCACTATATTGGAATCAAAGATGATGGAATGACAACTAATTGAAAGAAAATATCAAAATAGCCAAAATAAAAGCATAAGAAGATTGAAGCATATGAGTTACTCGGGGATTGCTATGGATAAGAACTTATTAAAGATCATATATAGGCTATAAAATGCTATAAAAAACTATTAGAGTAGGCTTGGCTTTAAAATGATTTTGAAAGCGAAGTAAGAGCTTATGAAAAAATATCTGTGCAATACTACTATATGGGTGATCTTTAAAAGAGCAAGTATTATCATCAAAGAGCGCTGAGAGGAGAAGTTATAGGAGAAGATTTAAGAAGAGTATTTAAAAGACAAGCCAAAAATATGTGAAGAAATTAATAGTCCGAAACTAGTTTTGAATCATTTAAAGAAGTTGACAATAATGGAAGTACAGTTGTAAGCACTCCATCAAATCGGTCAAGTAGAAGAGGACTTATAAGTAGTATGAGAGGTATTACTGAGGACAGAGCAAAGATCAGAGTTCAGTTGAATCAGCAAACATACGAGGAGGCTATGAGGGAAATTGAATTTTAAACGGATGTTTTCTAACAGTATGAAATTACATCCTAGCAAAATGGAAAAAATTCTGAAATTGCCTAGCTCATTATTGATAGTGCTGCAGACATATATAGTAAACACTTGTCACTAGGAGTGGGACCTGTAATTAGAATAGGAACTCCTGTTACTGAGTTATCTTTGTCATAACTTCCATCACCTCGAGGAATCAAAGATGATGAAAGCAAAAGCAAGGATGAGGATAATAATTCGGAGAATAATCAATCAACAATGATGCGAGAAATAAAATTATTGAGAGCAGTAAGAGCTCAAACAGAATCAGCTGAAAGAAAAAAGCCTTTAGATCCCTTGTTTTAGGAAGTAATCGGTAAAAGAGATAAGGTAATTTTGCTAATTTTAATTTATTTTAGCCCAAAAATATCATTGAAAAAATGAGAATGCAGAGGGAAGAGAGAAGATAAAGAGGAAAGAGAAATTAAAGGATGTCAATGTCATTGATATCAACTAAATATCTTTATGAAAGAGCCTATGAAAAGAAGTAGGATTATAAATTAATAGCTAGGGGCAATCCTAATTAAGGAATTGTTAATCATCTTAGTGAAAACAGAAATATGAAGATAAAATTTCATCTAGAAAAAGCCAAATATAAAAGAACTTAAGATGAGTATAAGGATTACCAGATATGGATGAGGACTTAAATTAGCATGTAATAGAAAATGGAGGTAAAAGAGTAGAAGGCCATTTATATTGAAGAAGGCAAGCGCAGGAGTATGCTAAAGATACTCTAAAAACAGAGTGTTAAACATTATGGAGGGTTAAACTTGTCAGCTGCAAGTACCACTATCAATAACTTAAATATTAACTTCTCTAGCTCCAATGGAGTATCTAGGTAGAGTTCTCAGTTGCTAGGTAATCTTTTAAGCAAACTATAAACCCAAAAATCTAATGGCTCTCAAAGCACCTAATAATGATAATTACAGAAATATTTAATGGATTAATTGCTACATATAACAAACTAACCAAGAAAATTTGAATGCTTTATTTCTTAATTTCATAAATTGTCTAAATCACTTAATCTATATAGCTAGGGGTTTTGGGGTTTTGGGG